TGTTATTTAATTCTTCTGTGTCTTGTCCCCAGGTACATTTAGGCTGAAGTATGCTCCTCCCTCTGAAAGTCTGGACTCCACAGACTGACCTTTCCTCCCCTGGAAGCTGCTGTAAGCCATGGAGTCGGAAGGAGATCGAACTACAAAACTGACACGTCCAGTTGCTGTTAAGCTTAATGTATTTTTTAATCCAAAGGTGCTTTACTTTCTTAGACTAGGTAGGAAATCTAGCTTAGGGGTGCAGCAAAAACCCATTTTTGATTGCCAAATCCAAGCTTGGATCTTGTTGGAACTCCTGACTACGTGTCCTTGGACCGGATGGATGGATGGACAGAAGGATGGAAGAAGGATGGATGAAGGATGGATGGAGCTGGCCAGCTGTGGTTTCTGTTGCAAGTACAACATCTGCTGTCCATGTTTTGGTTGGAGAGCATTGCCACGTGGATTTTCCAAGGTGAAAAGTGTGACTCCAGGGCAGCTCCATGATGAAGTGGAAGCTGGAGGTGGAAGGTAGGAATGGCCACGTGCCAGAAGGACTTTGGCACCCCCTGGGCTAGGTAAAATGTCTACTTTTGTTCAAAAGTGATCAGGCACTAATCTCTGGGATTTTTAAGGATTGCACTACAGAAGAATGTAAAACTCTTCAAGCTTTCTGCACTTTTAGCAGACAGTGTCACTCTGAGACCAGTGCAAGAGGCAAAGAAGTTCCCAACCTTTCCCAATTGGCACCAGCAGGTTTATGGGACTTAATTCCACACTAAAAAGCCTAAAAAAGTCTCTCCTTTCCCTTCCAAAAAGAACACACACAGCAGTTTCGGTTCCTTCTGGAAACAAACTTGTGCTTCATTGTCTCACCTGTTACTACCTAGTGCTGCTTCCCAGCACTGGAATAAACTTAGTTTCCAAGGGTCCAAGTCCCAGAGACTCCAGAGTCAATGAATTTTCCCTGTGATCCCTGTCCCGTTACTGTACATAGGTCTCTTTCACAGAAACCTTATTATTCTGCTTTTGTAAATGAATTTTAAACCATCCTAAAAACAAACCCCCCAACTCTGGTAACAGAGTTTATAAGCTTTTGCTTTACTTTCTATTAAAAATACCC